GACCCCTCTGTGTACGGGTCCCTCCCTCACGTACGGACCCCTCTGTGTACGGGTCCCTCCCTCACGTACGGACCCCTCTGTGTACGGGTCCCTCCCTCACGTACGGACCCCTCTGTGTACGGGTCCCTCCGTGTACGTGTCCCTCCCTCACGTACAGACCCCTCTGTGTATGCGTCCCTCCCTCACGTACAGACCCCTCTGTGTACGCGTCCCTCCCTCACGTACAGACCCCTCTGTGTACACGTCCCTCCCTCACGTACAGACCCCTCCGTGTACGGGTGCCTCCACGTATAAGTCCCTCCATGTACGGGTCCCTCCATGTACAGGCCCCTCCGGGTACGGGTCCCTCCACGTACAGGCCCCTCTGGGTACGGGTAAACACCCCCCTTCTACAGGCCCCTCCGGGTACAGGTAACCCCGCCCCCCCCTCCTTTCTACGGGCCCCTCCGTGTACGGGTAACCCCCCACCTTCTACGGGCCCCTCTGTGTACGGGCCCCTCCGTGTACCCCCCTCCCTGTACAGGCCCCTCCCTGTACAGTGTCATCGTGTACAGGTCTCTCCTCCTCTCCAGGTACAGGCCCCACCGTGTACGGGTCCCTCCTGCCATAGAACTGGTCCAAATGCCTCCAACCTATTGTTTAGAGAGCCCTGGATTGCAGATGTTTCTTTAATAAATCTTCAACAACTTGAAATATGACCTGCATTGTAATCTGTGTTTCCCTTTCACTTAATACCACTGTGAAATGAGTAATACACTGAATGGTACCCTCTGACCCACCCACATGCACCTGTCATCAGCGCTATGGCGCATCCGGTTGCCATCTTGAACAGTGAGGGCATTGGCGTGGCCCGACATTGCTTCTTCTGTGAGGACGGTATGGAGGGACTGGACTCTTGCTCCCCAGCTCGGATCAGACGCTGCATGGCAGCCTGGGCAGCCTCCGTCGGTAGGTCCTGCTGCCTCTGGCCATCCTGATTAGCTGCCTCCTCTTGGGCATCCCTGGCACAAAGACAACTGGCATCAGTGCATCCCAGGAACTCCATGCAATCAGACCCTGGGATCCCAGTGGGTTCAGGGGAAGAAGCGTATGGTCA